TTTCCCTCCCTCCTTTGTTTTATTTTTTTTTCAAATTTCAAATATGAACTTGCAAAAGAGACATTAGCGTGCGGTTTACATCAAAATCGGATAATTCTCCCTCGGTGAGGGAATTATTAGGAACAGTAAAAAAACTGAATGAGGTTCGCACGATAATTCCTCACTTCTCTGCATACTTTTGGCGCGTATACGTAGTATACCGCCTTTGCGATCGTTTNTACACGGTCTCGTCAAGGTGCGTCTTTGACCTCGCAGTGTTGGATCGTGAATTCTCTTTTTATGCTGTTTGCCTATTTTGAAATCTCTGTAAATGAAAACTAAAGGGGTTGATATGTGCGAGTTAATGACGCGCCTTATCAACACATTGTGTTGGAGTTCACTGCTTGTTTTTTTTTTTTTTACTTTCCTTCCTCTAAAAACAAAGAGAGAGAAGGGTGAAAAATCATAATACTGAGAATACTTAAAAATTGGTCAAATCTGCGTTTGAATTGACTGATCAAAATAAGCTTAGAAAATTGATCCCTCGTTCTTATCTATTTTTACCGTGGAGGTGTAAATGACCATAATTGCTGAGACATTGCTAAAAAGAACGTTAAAAACTACTACTCCTTCCATTCCAATCGAGCTTTATATTGCGCAATTAAAAATGTACATCTTACGATTCGAAAACGAGTTAAAATCTCACATTGCACGAATAATAAATCGAAGTTAATCACGCATGATATTTGCATCCCAACTCGTAATTTTAGCTATTAACGACATTGTGGACCGATAAATCTGTCTTGAAAGTTAATGAAAGTGATGGTCGATAGAAATTAACGTAATTTCGGCAGAGAATTCGAAGCGTCACGCCACCGTCAAACAGAGCTTTCTCCTTCTCAACACTCAACAGGTTATGTACCTTTGAGAAGATCTTATTCCCAGACTACCACCGCGCCATCCCCTGGACATCAAAAAGGGGTTAACTGCATCATAAAGTTCGATGATAATTTTTTTTTTAACGAGAGGGAGTAGAGGCTGGATTATTTTCAAGTATTCAATGCATTCTTCCTTTCAAGTTTTCATTAATCCATTAGCGAAACATAAGGAGGAAAACGATTACGAAAATAACGACTTAATAAGTATGGGTGATTTCTGATGTCTTCGTGAATTTCACCTGAGTAGTTGGGTACCCATAAAAACGGAGGATGAGAGGGCATCGGAGTTTTTGATCCATCATAAAATTCATAAAGGTTACGTACGTCCGACGCTTCAACATTTAACCGTGGGCATTGTGCTTCACTCTCCAGCAGCAGTTCAGACGCGGCAACAATGATTCACGCGCCGGGGTATAAAACATGAGCCAGTTTAAAGGCGAAACAATCAGTTTTTAAAGCAAAGCTCCGGCATAATGCGAGTATTTTAGCCGCAACGAGGCGACGTGTCAGGCAACAAGGGTCAAATTAAAGTTAACCGGGGTCATTTTCAATCAATTAGCGAAAATGGACGGGCAATTTGCGCGGGCCAAATGGAAGCTAATGACGACGGGTGGTCCCCGGTCCCCCCGCTCCTCCACCGTCCTCCTCGCACCCCGCATTCCGCGCCCGCCCCTCTACGGCAGAAAAATGAAGCTGCGGTGTTTAACCGTGCAAAAACTGCCAACTTTTTAAATATGTTGCCTTATATCCTTAACAGAAGCATATACAGCCGTTTAGTGCGGCTCAGATCAAAATCTAATCAAAGCGGCACACAGTGGATCGAGTCAATAGGATAGGTCAGCAAGCAACATATAGAAACTTCAAACGCTTTTAGTAACAAATTTGGCAACATTTTTTTCCCCACATTTAAACCTATGGAAATATATCGACTTTCGAAAGGGCCAGGTGCTTCGACCAGAATCAATTATTCAACGCAGGTCTAAATGGAGGAAAGCCGATGTTGCCAAATTGCTTGTCTTAAGTGTGGACAGGCGGCTGGGAGAAGATGAGATACACTTCAGAATTTTAGTCAAATAGGTTTCTAGGGATACCAAGGGTGTCTACTTAAACAGCCTGGCCAAAAAACAGTACTTTTACAGTACATTCCCAAGAAATTCAATACCTCCACCACAGAAAAATGCAATACTTCTTCAGTACCTTCATTTCACGAAATTCGAAAATTTTCAAAAATTTGAATCTCTCGCACAAATTGGGACGATGGTGACGAATAAATAAAAAAAGTTCCGGACCTTCTCGCGGAATTCCGCACTTTTTCAGTACTTCCGGACCGCCCTCAAAAGATCAGTACTACTTCCGGACTTTCCGAAAATTCCGGACCTGCAGACACCCTGGATACATTGAAATTCTAGCAGTGGCGACATCACATCGAGGGTGAAAGGAAAAACAAATAATAGAAAAGTCGTGCATGTAACGCCTTACGTAAGTTATACTCTGTGATGAACTACTGGTGACACAACTTTGATTAATTCGGGCGCACACTTCTTTTATTGTCGAAGAATGGTTTCGTATTGACTCCTGCTACAGAGAACCGCGACGGCAGCGAGCTCGACGGATTAACGCGGTCCAAGTCCTGGCTCGCGACGAGGGGACCAAACTAATCAATTTTTAGCCCATTTGCGATAATTTCGGAGCAATTAAAAGGAGAGCGGTGCCCGCTATTCACGGCCCGAAAGCGTGTAAAGAGTGCGGGTAAAATGACATAATGGTGCGTCGCGATGGGCGGCGCAAAATTAATTAATATTCACGCGGCGCGGCGCCGCGACGCACCGCACCGCGCGACGCTGCTCGTAATACAATCTCACACGCTGCCAAATTTCACAGTTGATACTAGAAAATCAGACCCATCTTTTCCTTCCTTCCTCTGAAAATACGCAAAAAATCATTCCCCACATAGTATGGAGCCTTCCTGACTTTGGATCAGTTTTTATCACGCCGTGCCTTGCAGGAGACTGTCTTGCGATCGCTCGACGTTAAAATTATTTGCGAACATTTATCTTGATGGCAATTTCTGCGTCTGCTGCCCTATATTTTTCCACTATTGAAAAGCCGGAAAAGTCACTGGAAAAATACCGGACCTTATGCTTGACCTTATGTTGAATACGCACGATCTGCCTGGCCGTCTTGATTTTGATATCTTTAAAGTTTTAAGCATCCATATTCTGAAAACGCAGATTCAGAGATTGGTTAGCTCGATCTTAAGCTTAACTTTTTTCCCGACGAGTTTTTCAATCGCTACTTCATTGAACTCTCCCGAATTCGTACTACGAGCAGACTCACTGTTGGCTGGAAGGAGGAGTAAAGGAAATCAGTCAAAGAGGTAAGATTAATTCAAGCATTAGCATTCCAGGTGCTTGATCAACTCTCCCAGATCGAAATCAAAAACTTTTATACATCACTTCTCCTCGAATTCTTAAAACGTCATATCATAAAACTGACAATGACAAAGTCTGTACACTCTGCTGTTCCGATTCTACTAGATCCTGCTGTTCAGATGAGTATATCATTTTTGGGTAACGTAACTGCTATACAGCACTGCAAGAAGATTTTAGAAAATGATACCACCAAAAACAAAGTCGGCATCGTGAAATTATGACTACATGATTGAATCTGAGCTTTGAAATGCCACCTTTAAGCGTCCAACCCACCTACAAACTGGGGCCTTCAAACTGGCGCTAATACTTTGGTTTCTCGGCCATTTCTGCGCGAAATTCATTGACGATTTCAAAATCTGATCTTTGCTATGTCTCGGACGCATCGGTTACCTCCACGGATCTTCGGGCCGACGATCTTTGAAAGGCAACAGTCAACAATTCAATCGATGAGCCTCTGACAATGGATGGCTAACACAGAATTTGGGCCCTACTTATTTTCAGGCTACCTCAGTTTTGCACTACTGCAGTGAAATAATTACGCAGAAGCGTTGAAATCAGCTGATTTCATCTACAAACTAGCAACTACGAACAGGCTCATGGCTCCAAACAGCAAAAGCTTGCGCACGAATAAAAGCTTAATTACACCCCCTCCGCCCCCGCCACCTCCCACCGCTGCTTGTGGTCTCGGTAGAACTAGCCGGCTCGTTTCATTAGCGATAATCGTGCAATTACGGATCCTCCTAGATAAGACATTGATATCTGTTGCGAAGAAGATACTGTAAAGAGGAGAAGAATAGGGGGAGAGTAGAGGCTGAAAATCAGATGATTCATAATTTGAATGGATTTGAAATGGAATGAGCGGCACTTAATAATCGGACCATGGTTGAAAATTTGGCAAGGTAAATGAACGCGTCTTCTGACAAAATAGAAGTTTCGTACGACAACGAAAGATCCCAGCAGTCTGAGTGAGATTAGAACAGGATTGAGTTTGGATTTGACTTGCTGAGCACTATTAATTAGGGATAATTTGCCATTTTTACTTAGTCCATCCCTGCGTTTTCAAAATACTATGGACTATCAGTCGAAAGTAAAATAAAGGTTACATCAAACCGTCAACTGAAACATGAATTCATCATTATTGAAGCTTTAATTTCTTTTCACTAAGACGTCAGTCGATGTTTTTCTCCAGATGTAGTCCTTTTCAACTTGATAAATTCCAATTCCAAAAGTAGGGTGTGAAATATTTAGTTGAAAAAATCGTAACATGGATTTTTCATGTTTTTCAAAGTTACGCCTTCAAGAAAGGAATAATGAGAGTTCTCGAAAATGAATTTCAGGAATAATTAGAATAGAATAATTCATGTTTTCTGCGAGGATCGCGAGATTCACTTCTATAAAAAAGGTATTCCCCTTGGCAGGGGTAGCATCTAATGTCCAAGTGTGAATGATTACCGACAATTTTCGAAGATTCGAGATGACTTTGACGTACCAACCTTTTATCTTCCTGCTTAATATGATTTCAAAATAAGGATTCAGGGTTAATTTTTTAATTCTGAACTGAGTATCATACACAAATTTCCAACTCGAGACAAAATATCAATGCATGAGAAAACATTTAACAGATCTGATTGCGACTGTCGAGGAAACTCACCTAAATCGCTACCGGCACAGAGAGAAAAGTTACGTTGATGAACCAACATTTAGCCAGTGAGATCGTCCAAAAAAAAAAACACGCCACTATGAACGATATAATCTTGGTGAAAATTAGGATGATAATGAATATTTGAGTGACAAAGGCAACGGAGTAGAAACATTTGATTGAATAAACTTGAGCAGGGCAGGGAACGGGCAATGAAAATAAAAATAAAAATAAAAAGCGATGGAGAGTAAACACGGGTGAAGACGGGAGTGAAAGAGAGGCGCAGAATGATAAGTATGGAAGACACTGCAGAAAATTGATAAGATTAAATTTTAACGCGAATTTCCCGCATTGTTCTGAAATACCTATCGTGTTATTTGGGCGCCTCGATAATCGACTTGAGTGGCGGCACTTCGCCATGCTCCTCCTCTTATTCTCCAAGATATAAGTAAATTCGTCACCAAAAAGCATGGAGTGAGGCTTATTGTTTAATGCACCGTGCGTTTTATTAGTCGGCTTGGATCGAATGAATCCATAAAAAAATAATGAAAAGTGTTTACAAACTGTGAGCAAGTGAGCTTTATGCTGAATTTTTTAACGCACGTTGGCAAAAAAACTCCAACATTCAAAAGTGTTTACTTCAGCGGCGATTTTCCAAGTTGGCAACACTGTTTTACTTCCATTTAAATCCATTTAAAATATCGATTTTAGGTCCAACCAAGAATCGATTTTTTGCATAGCTTTAGATGGAGGGAAAGCATTGTTGCCATCTTTCAAGAATCTTCTCTGGTTTACCTAATGTGAATTTTCAGCTTTGAGTGATGGATTTTAGGTACTATCTATGTACTTCAAATTTTAACTATTATGTGGGATACTTGGGAAAAATCTAAGTTTTAGTTTCTATATCAATCATCACGGAATTTTCTCACTGAAAATAATCTTTCAACTCATAAAATAAAGTAAAGAAGAACTGACTCTCAATTACAACCATTTTCAACACATCGATGGACTGAAAATTCGATTTTTCCAAAATAATCCACCAAATGTTTTAGTGTTTCGTATTTTCGTAGATTCTTCTTAATTTCATTTAAAAAAAAAAAATAAATAAAATAAACTCTGACTGGCTCCTGCTATCACCGATCATCGGCATCACTCAGCACTGATCAATTCGTGGGATGGATGATATTCGATCGCGAAAATTCGCTTAGTGACGGCCAGGTGAAAAAATGAAAATGGCGAGATGACGCGTTGACGAGCCGAACCGACGCGCCGTGACGTCACCACGTGCGTTCCCATGCCCCTGAGTTGGAAACTGGCCCCACGGATATCATAAAATAGATTTAATTCGCGTGCCAAGAAAAATTGGCGGAAAATTTCCAGACTTCCCGATGGTTCCGATCATTAATCAACGCCTGGCGAAATTAAATTTAAAATTTAGCACGTGAGAAAAACTACTGGATACGTCGAGCTGATGCGCGAGCGAGCAGCCGGCGCGCGGCGTCCGACGCAGGTCCCGCGCGAACCAGTTCGCCCTCGTTTCGACGATACTCTGACGATGGAACGACTGCGTTTTTCGCTGAACGTCGTTACACATTGATTTCGACGCCGTGCAGGGGTTACCTGAAAACTGACTTACGCTCTTTTACCAGCGAAACCACGTGCACCCTATGATAACATAGCTAGTAGGAATAAGGGAGCGTTCATCAATAAATGAGGGGCTTGGAGGACAAGGCGCCTAAGTGCAGTTTCTGGAAAAAATTGAGATATTACAGGGCGTGTAGTTTGTTTTCATTTTGGGAAATCCTGATGAAATCCTGATTTTTGACTGCTAAATCCTGATTTCATAATTTTTCCGAATCCTGATCAAATCCTGATTTTTTGCGGAGAAAAATTAACGGACGGATAACGGATAATTAACGGGAAAAAAGGGTACACCGTGACGTAAATAGGTACAATACGACGTCAATATTCTTGAAAAACCTACAATTCAAAGTACAGAAAGCGGGCCGTGGCGTGCATTGTTCAGTGGGATTCGACACGAAATAAAATTTTTAACACTATTTAAAAAATGACTTGTTTGCAAACAACCCCAGTTTCGGGAGAATCGATGATAGAAATTTCCGGACTCACTTATGATGTTGACCTCTATGCAAGATGCCCGAGATGCAAGCACCTCCTTTCCTTCTCTATACTGATATGTTAGTCTATGCAGAATTTTTAGAAAAATCTGATGGGAGGAGAAACTTTTTGGTCTTCTTGTATTTATCGGCACTTTACAATATGACGCAGGAGCGCTCGAGAGGTTACTCACTTGCATGCACAGAGTTGGTGAGCAGCGGTGATAAATCATAACGACAACTGCGTTCTGGACGAACTTTTTATGAAATTTATTAATAGAGCACACTATCGCGATTGATGATCTCACTGCAATCAGCTGAACATTCTGGAATGCTCCACAATCCAGCGGAAGAATTTTGGGAAGATGAAAGAACAATACAAAAATTACTTCCGCGATCATTGCATTACTTGAACTAACAATGAGTATAACAGAAAAGCTACTTCGTCTACGTGCAAAATGTGTCAATTGATTCGTTCAGTTCAATAACGGGCCCGCATCCAAAAATGCGTTACATTGCGGAAAAATGGCCTCTGAGGTCGGAGCCTTAATTTTTACTTCTTCCTCTCCTGCATCTACCTTCGCCACCTCTTCCCCTCCAAAAAATAAATAAAAAAAACAATTGATCACTTAAAGGAGGTTAAAAACATTGGCAAGTTCCATTCAATTCAAGACCGATTTAATTCATCTCTAGAGATTTCAGAATCGAACGTTTCTGAAATAAAAGCACAAAAACTACGGTAACATCTATTAGCTCCTCTGAGATGGCTAATAACTAAATAAACGACAAATACTTATAGCCTGCCGTGCTAAGGAAAAACACCGTTTGAGCATTCGATTGTTGCCGAATTTCCTCTCAGAAAATATATACTTTTGAAGAGCGTTATGGCGATTTTTCTTCGAAATTTGCAGACTTTTTGAATCAAGTTTCGACCAGAATCCTCAGAAAATTCGATGGAGAAATATTCACAAATTTTCTTGATAATTCTTTGTCCTTGAAGAAAATCTGGCAACGTCTAGTGGCTCATACGGCGTTCTTCCTTAGCACGGCAATATTGGCCTCAAATAGTATTTTTCGTTCGTTTGCAGTTTTTTCCCTCTCAGAGTTGTACTTAAACGCTTTTTGTGATGAGATACAGTGGCGCGGCGTGAATTGCGATGCATCGATTGTTATGCCATTTAAACCTATGGAAAAGGATTGACAAACAGGGTGTTCGCAGCGAACACCTAAATAATCGATTCTTTACCATAAATTTAAATGGCATAACAACCGATACATCTTAATTCACGCCACGCCACTGATGAGCTACGGCCAGATTCCACCGCAAAACAAAGTTCCAGGGCAAGGGCGCGACGTGAATTCATTGACGAACGTGTACGACTCTAATATTTCCCGCTCCTTGCGAGAGATCATTCAACTTGCGACGTAACAAGACGAAAAACGCTAAAAATTCGGCCGGTGCCTATAAATGAGGGCGTGATGGTTGCCGCTGCAGCAGAAATTATTTGAGAAGTCTATCAAAACGCGAGGGAGGAGGAGTAACAAGCAATTAGAACGGTGACTCAAGTACGGACAACATTATAAGCGCGCTAATAAAGAATTTTAACAGTTCGCTTACAGGGAAAAACACCGATTCTCGCTCGGAGCAATTAACTTCGAACAATTGCATAACGCGGATTTTTCTCGCAACTTCCTTTTCCGGACGAAATATTCGCTTTGAATTGGACTTTTTCGTTTATGATTTGGACTTGAAAACTGGATTTTCGACAAGACGATTCCTTCCTAATACACTGAAAATAAGGTATGGCAAGGATCAGGGTGTCTACTATAACAGGCTGGTCAAAAATAAGTACTTTTACAGTACTTGTTCGGTACATTTTCCGTAAATTCAGTACCTCCTCCAACAGAAAAATTCCGTACTTTTTCAGTACCTCCATTTGACAAAATTAGAAAAATTTGAAATTGCGACAAAAATGACAAAAAATAAAAAAAAACCGGACCTTTTTGCGGAATTTCGAGAGTAAAGATCGTCGTTTTGTTCACGAAAGAACGTAACTACACTTCAATGTTGTCAACTTATCTCCCGCGGATTGCATTTATACCAAAAAAACCTTGGGACTTAGTAACAGGAAATTTCACTGATTTTTCCAATGACCTCATACAAAAATTCGACAAATTTTCAACGATGATGACTAATGTTTACCTTCGTAAAGAATAGAATTGTTGGGGCCGATTTTACACCCTTGGAGTGGAGTTACGTTCCTTCGTCCAGGGCGAACAAAGGTGGATCCAGCAATTTGGCAACACCGGATTTTCTCCATTTAAACTCATGCTAAACGATCGAATCTTGTCGGAGCACCTGGCCCCTCAAAGAATCGATACATTTCTATAGGTTTACATGGAGAAAAGACAATGTTGCCAATTTGCTAGATCCGCCAATGTCCGGGAAACGACGAATTCTCCGTTTTACAGGAGAGGGGGGAAGGAACTACCGCCGGTGGAGGAGGAAACTATCATATCCTAAAGATGTCTTATACAGGGTGTCTAGTATTTTTCATTTTGAAAAATCCTGATATTTTCCTGATTTTTCCCGATATTTTATAAAAAAATGCCTGACTTTTTCATTTTGAAAATTCCTGATATTTTCCTGATTTTTCTCGACTCCTAGCACAGTAGGCAAAAAGCAGTAAGACCTTCTCCGTTGAGGAGATTCCCGTAAGAAAAATTCCTGATAAAACGTCCGATTTTTTCGATTTTCCTGATTTTTTCCTGATCGGCCAAAATTCCTGATATTTATCGGGTTTTCCTGATGCTAGACACCCTGTTATAGCAAGCCCTAAATGCGGGTGGGCGCTGCAATGAGTTTCCTTTTTTCCAGAAACAGACAGTAAGTGTAAGAGAAAGAAACGACGAGCACAGCATTTTGGAATGATCGATTAATATGAGGCATACGTTCACTTAAATTATGTTTTCTATTTCTGTCCTACCACACCGGGAACGATATGC